TTTGTTTGGAGCCGAAGGTCTTCTATAGCTATTTGCTACTAGTAGTGATGGCCTCCACCGAATAGCGATGGCCTCCACCTAGTAGGGTTCTTGCTCCTAGTTCCCGCAATCGAAAGATAGTTCTGATGGCTGTACCTGGCTAACCAGAGTCAAACACAAACCATCGCTATCCTTACCTTGAGAGACCAAAGGAGTCCCACAAGAAACGTCGTGTTTCCATTTGTGCCCCGACCCCTTCCTTTTTGTCACTCAAAGGTGTATGTACTGGATTCTTGTGACCAATGGTTACCACCGAAACTATAGCTTCAGAGCGGGACAATGCCGGAACAAGAGAAACAAGAGAGCTCAAATCAGCTTTGTTTGTTGTGTTATTTGGACCCCAGTTGCCTCGCAGGAGCATGATGTGTCAAGGGGCTTGCAACGAGAGCACAGGCACATGACCTTGTGGCCATTGGAAACCTGAAAGCACGCGTAGTTGTGTGGAAGTATTTGACTAATCCCTTGCAGAACAGATCAGGCAATGAGAGTGCGATCCACATGAATGACACAAACCACAGCGAGTCAAAGGCAGGGGTCCTGCGAGTTGGCCAAAACTTGGCCAACCTTGAACTCAGGTTGAGAGATAGAGAGAAGCTGTTTTTGAGTGTTTTCGACCGATGTTTTAGCTTTAAGTGTGTAGCAACTCAGATCATTCTTGGTGTCTGAAAAAGTGCTTATATAGTGTGCATATGATGTTGAAGAAAAGTAGTTTGACACCACCCAACGCCGAAATGTGGATTCCATCCTCATCCCACCAAATCTATATAGCTTATTTCACGGATTCGATGTTCCGCAGTTCAAGTGGTCGCATTTGAGCCTCATGACCAGTTTGCTGAGGAGCTCGACCTGAGCTGTGAGCTCAGCGGAGGAGCACATTATATTGTGATATGTGTTTGCTGATCCACATGACATGTTCCTCTCGGAGTCTCACATGGCATCGTGAAGGCATGACATGCGGTACATGACATGGGGCCGTCGCTCAGGTGTCAACGACAGCGACCTTGTGGACGGAAATGTTACTAACGAGACTGAGATGTTCCTTGGATTCAATCTGGGCAGTCGGGCAAAACACAAATTCAATCACGATATGCTATAGTCACTTGTGGGGCATTTGTTTACAATCTGTGTGCCAGGGGTAAACTCGAACCTCAAGAATAACTGTATAGTTACCTTATTGACCGGTCATTTTGAACCCAGGAAACAAAAACGAGTTCCATGAAGACTGGAAATAGCGAGGCCAACGTGTCCGGTCTTTGAGCCTTTGAACTTCTGCAAACAGTTGGACATCGCCAAGATTGCCCTCTGTCAGTTGCATTTTGAGCTGAGGCCAGCAGCATTTGACCCCAATGTTGTGGGCGTTCGGATCTGAGATGCTGACTGAGCTTGCGGGGCGGCTTCTGGCTTTGCGTTGCAAGCCCTGTGGAAGATTAAGACAGGTTCCACCAGTAGTGATGACATGCAAAAAAATAACTAAGCAAAAATACTGACCTAAGCATTGGATAGAACGGTCCGAAATGATTGGCCATCGGAGAGCCGTTTGGGCATTCTCATTGCATGCAATCTCTGGTCATTTAACCATGGAAATTGACTTGTAATACGTATATATATATATTTACAAATGTTTTTGATCGTGGACGTGATGTATACTTAAATATCCTTTTGTATGCGACATAGCACCAAGGCCATCCATGTTCCTGCCCAAGGGTGCCATGTGCAGCACACTACAGTGGGAATGCCCGTTCTTTGCCAGTCAGAATGAGCCTTTGACATCTCTTCAATGTTCCTTTCTTTATGGCTTGAGGAGATCAAATTGCTTTGTAGACTGATCTCAAGTTTCTGGTGACCTGACCATTGGTGCGATCATGCTGAGGTGACATGTACCTTGCCCTCGCTCGCACAAGGGATGGAATACAAGATCTATTGGACACATGGTGCTTTGCAGGCGAAGACATATATAATATTAATGTACTTATATGGTTCCTAAAGGTTCTTGCCTATTTGGCTGGCACACCCGGGGCAATTCAACGAGTAGGCAGCTCAAGCTTTGGGAAGTGTTGCGAGTGCCCCGGTGGCCAGTTGGCACTGCAGTATTCTGTGATTGTCAGTTGTTATAAAGCGTATGAATCAAGAGAATTGGAACAAGAAGGAGATAGAAGGAGCACAGCTTACTGCAAGACACGCAAATGTGCAATGATTGGCAGACATCCTTGGGCGTTTTGTGATTCATTTACTAACCTCGTTTCACTGGATGTGTGGCAATTGTGCAGGATGAGGAAGGCTTGATCCGAGCAGGCCCCTCTGGGGTTGCGCCAGGCTTTCGGGTGATTGAAGCCTGGCTGAGAAGAAGTGCGAGCAACACGTGTGCCAAGAGAAGTGCAATGTCTTTTAAAGCCTGTGGCCCTGTCTCCTTACTTAATTAAGTAGGCGCCTATATACTTGATTAAGTAAGAGAGCAAGCTCCCAGCTGCATAGCTCACGCTTCTTCAAGGAAGCTCCCCCACCTGAGGGCGGGGGGAGCTTCCTTGAAGACGCGCTCGCACTCATGATTCGGTTCCTAGATTTTGAGGGAAACTTAACTCAACTTGATTCTCATCAGGCAGCTTCGCATGAGTAGTTAATCATTTGAGCCTACAGGTTCGGTCTGCTTGCGGGCTGGGAGATACCTGACTAAGGACAGACCATCAACATTTCCCACTATTTTGTCACTCTTGCCTTCCTCAAAATTGCAGCCGGGTACCAAGCGATTTGATGCCGGTGGCATACCTGTTGCTCGTTTTGACGCAGCCATATGCAGCCACATCTAGAAAGGTTGGGATATGTTGGGATTGTTTTGTCACGTCAGGGATTTTGAGTAGCGATCATGACATGCTCCTTGTGCCACGGAGGTTGAAGGCTTCTGCAGTTGTTGTGCTACAGTGCAAGGATGTTAAAGGTGCAGCCATGTGCAGCCGATATATCATGTGGCCAGATCGACCAACCGCTCTATACCGCAGGCTCAAGAATCAGGATTGGCTGCGTGTTTTGACTTTGGGTCTCCTTGTTGCGCCTCATCTGGAACAGCACAGGATAACAGCAGTCGTATGACCATCCTCGACGACTCGTCACGCTGACCCGTTCGCGCCGAGGTCTGGTGGCCGACGTTTGGACGATTTCGCGATGGAGCCCAAACCTCCCTGGTGCGCCATGCCTTTGGCAAGTTGAAGCTAGTCTTGACGTGTCAAACCTCCAGGGGACTGCTTTGCTTAGTGTTCAGTCCTCCTACATTGTGGAGACTGAGCTGTCGACAAAGCACAACGTTGTGTGAGAATGTGTGAGAGACTACAATTTCGTATCAAACAATGTGCTGTAGCCAATATCCATCAACGGCCATACAACTAGCCCTCGCTACTACTTTAGGCTCAACTTTGGACTGGACACACTTTTCTTCACAAGAGTACTTTAGAAAAGGGGACACCCTATAGGAGGCCATCGCTAGTAGGTTGGAGGCCATCGCTATTAGGTTGGGGGCCATCACTACTAGGGTGGTGGCCACCGCTACTAGGTTGGAGGCCATTGCTGGGTATTGCAGAATGACTTGACTAGTCCTTTTGCATGTGACGGACTGGCCATCCAACATGGTGCGAGGTACGCGGCGAAGGGTGCCACACTGGCCTTGACCTTCTCCAGCCCGGTGAAGGCCTGGGGAGAAAACATCGAAACACGATTTGTTGAATGCAGATTGGCATTAGATGATGAGAAAGCATGAGAAAGCATGAGAAAGCTGAATACTCTTCTCACCCTGGAACTTGTACCGAGCTTCATGGAACTGCTACTTGGCAAAGGCGGCAGTCGCTGTCCTTTTGCCAAGAGTTGCATGGGATCAGAACCGGTCTTCGTGCCTTTTGCAGCACTTCTGTTGTTAGTGCAAAAGGTGTACTACCAGTGTGTTGGTCTTTCCCAAGGTCTTTTGGTCAATCCGCTTTCAATTAGTGGCAGGACATGCTTCGTCTCTTTTAACACTCCAATTTGTTTTTTGCGCCAGCTTGGCATGGGGCGCTTGCGGCTGGTGGACTGCTCTCCAGGGAACTCCTTGAGGTGGGCTGTGCAGGGGAACAGAACTTCAGCCAGCACAGGTGATCTCCCGCCAACGTTGGCTCATCTTGTGCCGGCAATCTGAAAAGGAGGATCAGCAGGACTACAGTGACAGTATGTATAGTGGTTTGGCCGTTCGTTCTAATTGGTGTGTCGATTCCTTCTCCGAAAAGAGTCAGACTTGAGAAACGGTCGTCAAGACAAGGTGGGCATAAGATAGAAGATGTCTCCAAAGATGACTCACGGCGATGGAATATACCTGTGATTCCAGAAATTCATATATACTAGATGGGCGCACGTCACCGAGTCATTCTGTTTGTCAAGGCCATTGCAAGGCATTGCCGGGTTGACAAAGAACTATAGTAAGTTTCTCTCAACCCTATGACATGAGATTATCATTGATTCCCATTCTACCCATAAATGTCACCGCGATCAGTCATGATGCTCCGGTGGCAAAATCATTTGCGTTTTTGTAGTGATTTTGCTGGCAAACCGCAACCATTGGCTTCCAGCGGAGCAACTAGACTCCACGTGAGGAGTCGCGGGCAGGCAAGGGTTCGGTGTTTGTTTTCTCCTTCTATTGGTTCACTCTGAGTCTTGCAATACTGTATGCCTGTTTGGCTGCGGAATTTTGGTCATATGTCATATATACATATGGCATATATTGTGCTCAATGTTCAGCCAAGCTCACCTCATCCGAGCAAGCAAGGCACACTTGCGTCCTCAATGTGTTTATGTTATATTCATGCGAAACAGCTTGCATACAAATATATAATTACATGACTTTGTACGCAAGTATGTAGACTTCTAGTACCACCCCGGGGCTATGACTCAAATATATCATTTGGCTTGTAGCTGGTAGCTCTCAGAAATGTGAATCCAGCCAGGGCATGACGTCTGGGACAGAGTTAGGATCTTAGCGCGCAGCGGTTCCGTGATGACCTCAAGATGACTTGGAACAGTTTTTCCCCTCGCGCGAACATCTAGACAGATGATGACAGATGTCATGCGGTGGCTCCACCACTGGGTCTCCAACCGGACCTTGCACCTATCCTTCTGAGGTTCTTTGCCATTTGCCGCTGGTCCGCCAACGTCTTTGCATCAAGGGTGCTGCGCGTGGCACAAGGTGACACAAGCCTGCCCTTCACTTGCCACGCGTGTATCTTGACTAATTATTGGATACAGTATCAGTCCAAGACGCTTTGAGATCAGCGCAGCTAGCCCGACAACCAAGTTGATCCAAAGCTCGTAAGCAAGACTTGAAGTTGGTGCAGGCCAAGCCTGCCTTTACTGGACATGCAGCAGACCAGACAATATCCAATGTGTTTGTCCTGCTTTCGTTGTGACAGGAATGCGATTAGTGTCCGGGGCTGTGAGCATCCAATTCATAATGAGTTTGTCATGCTTCGACGACGTGCTTTTGGCAAAATGTTTAGGGTTCTTTGTGCAGAAAAGTTTGCAGAATGAAGGGGGATTGGGAATAAACTGCATTTGTTTGTTTCGCGCTGCTTGGTGACTTCAAAGGTGACACACGGTGTGGTTGCTATCGCCAAGGTACTTATCTTTTTCGCCCTTCTCGTTTGCCAACCCCTTTCCAATCAGCTGAGCGGTTCCTTCCAAAGGCTGCTTGTTTGCATCAATTTCCGCAGGGAGGGCTCGCCCACATCACATTGCTCTTCCAACCCCTTGCTTACGGAGGTTTGAGGGTTCTTGCGTTCTAGAGCACATGTGATGTGTGTATACGTAGCGTGCGTGCACCAATGTAAAAAAGTTATTTGGAACCTTCTCGTGAACCACATTCCCTTGACACGGGGAGCTCTCATATCAACGGTCAGAAACCATGAAAAAGAACACGTGTTTAGAAAACCGCGGAAATTCCCGTGACCTTTGGTCAACAACATGTTTTGACCTAATTGCGATGACCCAATCCTTGCCCACAGCAAGGCTTGCAACTGCACCGGCGTGGTGGGCTGCAAGTTTCCAGGTGGTGGACCAGGGCGCTTGCAGCCCTGCCCTGTTGAGGCAACTTCAGCGACGGGCTGTGACAGTGGTGTCTAAAGGAAGACCAGGACTAGTCCATGGCAGTGTGAGAGGCAGGAGAGTATGCCAAGAGCTTTTTGTTCCAGATTCGATTCCCCAATATCATTCCTCTAAAGATTTACAACAGGCAGGATTATACAGAGGTATCTCCCATATAGACGGTATTGACTCTGGGTGTGAAAAAATAGCCACCGAGGATGTTGTACCAGGAGGTTGTGCAAAGTTAGCAGAAACAAACAAAGCGAATTCACATACTTTCACTTTGGCCACCTCCCCCCAAACCCATCTTCAAAACAATCATGTGCTCGCCACAGAGCGGTTTGTTCATGCTACCTCCAAGACTGCTGTATGTGTGGGGCGGCACAGAGGCTGGGCGTGCAATCAAATTTTGATGCATCAGAACGATTGTGAACGTGACAAAGCAATCTTTCAAGATGGCCGCAAGAGCCTGGCCACCAACTGCCTGGTGACCCCGAACTGGACCCTTTTAGGATGCTTCCCTGGTTGACCCCAGTTGTTGCAGTCCTACTATCCTATGCTTGCTTGTTGCTCTCATGATCTCTCATGCAATCCCGAACAAGAAGCAACCCAACCACACGCGAGGCACAAATTGTTGAGTGTCCACAGCACCTTTTTGCTCAGCTTCAGTTGTGCACCCAAACGGGCACAGTCATTCTCGACACCAACAAAGAACCTTTACTTGACCAATTACTGCTCGCGTTGCTCAAATCTGGGAAAACGATGCCACTATGTGCATGTATGTGTACCAATCTAACCCCAAAACCGCACATGCTGAGAAGAATAGTCATGTGAATCAGATGTGTATTGGCAATGGAATACTTGGCCTACCCTCAATGAGCCAATGGGAAGTTTGATCGTTAGTTCAAGATGCCCTTCAGAAGTTCCGGTCACTGAGTACAGCCTAGCCAGAATCCTTCTCTTTCGACGCTTTTGCCACGGGATTGCACGGAGTTATTTTTGGGCCGTGTATATACATACACCGAAACAGACCTGATGCTGCAGGTGGAAGTTCACTGATGGCCTTATCCTCGCGAAGGGTGCAGGTGAGTTTGCTGAGTGTCCTTGGTGTGCTGGAATAAGTAGTTGCTTTTTTTACACGAAACCAACAAAATGGTGCCAAACGTCACGACAGTGCAGGAATTTCATTCTAGCAACAGGACGTAGCGTCCTCAAGTTTGCGGAGAGCACGAGCTTCGGGCACGACTGTTGTTGCTCGAGGCGACCTACGGCCGAAGCAGATATTCATGAGACTCTCACAAAAGTGAATAATCTCGGTACCATTTGACTACATAATGAAATCCAAATGAATCCAATACAACTCATATATACAGTGTGTATATATATATTGTACTATATTGTATCTATATATATATGTATATGTTACATACTTATTACTTATACAGATGCATAACTTATCATGATCTAACATGTAAATGTACCCCCGTCCTTACAGATGACAGACTGTTTAGACATGTTGAGCACTGTTTTCCCCGCAGCTTCGGCTCAGCTGATGTGGGGACAGGTGGTGTCTTGGTGGTTTTCGGCTTGTGCATTGGCACAGCCGGGATGCTCTTCATTCGGTGTCAGAACTGCAAAAAAAGCAGCGGACATGGATGCACGCACGTGCGGACTCATCGCGTCCACACAACCCCTCTTCATGTGTTATGACTGACGGGTGTTGGTGGATGTAAAAGGTGAGAATGACGGTGTGGGGAAAAATAGTTGAAGCAAATACGTACACTTGACCCGTGAGACCGAAAGCGACGTGCGGGCGCACCTCCACAAAAGAATCAAGGCAAGCAAGGGGCATCAAGACTCAACTTTCACGCCATCAAGAACTCATTTTCTGAGTTACGATTTGTCAGCTAACTCACTTACGAGGTGTTCGGATGTGGGATGGTATCAAATTTTTTCTTGCGAAGCAGTGCGTATGGAACGTGGCGCAAGAGTGCGTCCTGCTTTTCTCGCCTAGTTGGATTCTGGCAAGTCGGAAAGCTGCAGTGTAATCCGGTCCACCTATTTAAAAAAACACGTGGCCTCACCCCCCCTAATAAGGAAACCTCGATCGCAATTTTTTAAATTGGGGGTCCCTGAAATCGGGGGGTCCAAAGTAGGGTCACCTGGGAAGAGCTTCAAAATCTTCATTAGAATAGTGATGCTTCAGCAAAGCTTTCGAAAGGTGATGTCGCTGTGCCATGCGGTGTTGCGTGACCTCGGTGGCAAGTGCGTTTGCGTGAGTCCGTGCCATTGGGGAAGGAAAGCCTGCTGGTGTAAGCGCGGCGTGTCATGGTGGATAGACAGGGTGGACAGAGGTGGGTAGTTACGGTTGTTTTTGGAACCTAATAAAAATAATCCTTCAAAATTGGCAATGTTGGTAGTTCAGTAGCGGCTTGAAAGGGCGGAAATTTAAACACACATGTAAACCGTATTTAGGGGTTTCCGACATGACTTTATTTTTAATTAGGGGTCCGTTTTTTAAATAGGTACTCGGGATTAGCAATTTCAGTATGGAATCGGGGGTCATGCGGCATGGAAGGTGAGCATATTTCTTAAATGCGAATATGTCCGCTGCCGATTTGGCAAGTCAGTCCGGACGTCGTGAAATCCCCTTTCATGCGCTGCCGTGAAACCCAAACGAGTCAGGCTTGATGTACCTGTACCTTGTTCTTTGTACAGAGGTGAAATGTTGGACCGCCAGGAAGTCTGAATGTGCTTGACGATCCAACGGAAATTTTCTGCAAAAACGCATAGGCATCGGGCTTTAGCTGGCAACAACTGCAGCTTGCGGTCTGGGTGTGGCCACGAGAATGGTTTGCAGAAAATCAACACCATCCAGGTCAGATTGACACCCCAAGAACTACACCAAAAGACAGTCCGGTGAGGTTCATCTGGAAGCTCGAATCTGTTACCCTGTATATACTTGCCATGTGGTCAACTTGTGAATCTGCTTCTGGAAGGCGTCTGGTGCATGACGAGCAAGAGCATTGTGCTGGCAAGTGGACGTTGCGGTATAAGTATGTGAGCCGTCTGCCTTTGCCATACGTGTGTGCGCAATATTGGTAAAATTTCAGGAAAGTATCGTTCTCTCGTTTGCAATGCTCCCGAACTCGCAGGCGTAATGCAGAACATTTAGAACCATGTGTTTCTGGCGGAGCCTGCGGCTTTATCTGCTTATATAGTTATTCCTGTTGCGCGCCACTCTTCCAAGTGGCTTCCAGCGGTGTGTATGCCCAGGCGAGGTCAGGGTTCCATAAACACACCAATCGCTGTATTGGGCCCCAATGTGCCTTCTTATATATGGGGCGTCGCAATGAACTGTTCCGTTCATAATCTGATCGGCTTAATTTCATACGAATTGGGAATCTGTGACAAAAGTGACCCTCTGACAAAAGTGACAATTTGTGACAGCGGGAATGGATTGGAAGGCCGGATGTCAAACACAAAAACGAGCAACGACCGAAACCAGCGCTTAAAAATGGATAAAGAGTAGTTGTGGGACCATATCGACCTATGATCTGTCTATGATCCAGCTGAAGCCTGGAAAGGCGAGGGACCTCCAAAGCGATGTCCATGTCAAATTGAAAGAGCCACATCCAAGACGATAACCTTGTTGTCCATCTTCTCTTCATCGCCCCGAAACTTAGTATTCGGCACCTTGCTGATCGCTGTCACCCTAAATATATAATTCTCAGCTCTGCAGCCTTTGTCCGGCGGCGCAGAGGTTCCATCGGCTTATCGCTGAGAGAACAAAGCTGGGGTCACAGAACTGGGCGCGGGAGGGGCGGACTGAGGAGAAAGAGGAGACAAAGTTTCACTGACGAGGAAATGGCATTGAGTCCATCGCGCAAAAGAACAGGCAGTGGAGACTGACTGAACTCCACAACATCACAGAGGCGATCATCCAGCAAGCGCAGGCTCAGAAACCTTCAAAGGGAACTGATGAGATTACCAGAGGTGGATCCAAATCCTCAAAGACTCAAAGGTTGGCGACGGACCATTGGGGGGACAAGAGAGAAATCAGCGTACTGTAGATGGAAGTACAGCGGATGTTGAGAGTCTTTGTACATATCCAGTCACATGATCTAGTGTCATATATATATATATATTGATGTTGAGCTATATAGTTGTTTAAGGACTTGTGTGTTTGGGTTACATTTTGCTATGGCCCCAAGCCTGTGCCTTGCAGGATTCTGGAAGTAATTTAGGCATATCACCGTCGTTCAATACAATGCCCCGGCGTTGTGAATGAAGTGAACCGCAGTAACAACAAAGATTCCAAGGCCAGTTTGGTGGTTTTGTTCAGCAAACATTGAACGCAGGACCCAGGACACCTTTCCATCAAACCCGCATTGCGGTTGAGATCATGTGCAGGTGCCACTCGCAAGCTCGGCCTAAGACATGCGAGGCAGGGTTGGGACACGTGTTGTGATGGAACATGCAGCCTGCAGCGCAGAGCGTAAGGTTTTTAAGGCCATTTGTCATTTCTGGGAAAACGAACTGTCAAGTGTCAAGTGTTCAAAACCTGCAAGTAACAATCCCTTGTTTGCTTGGAAAATTGAGTCATTTGACGTTCATGAATTTCCTGTAAAAATTGTTATTTTTTCCAAGGTTCGGTTCAGGTAGAGTTTCATTGTTGTATGACTCATATCACTATGTTTTTGCATGCAGCCTGTTGTCACATTCAGTTTGCAAAAAATGCAAACAACATCCAACAGAAAAAATTGATATCACCAGCACACACGGGCCAATTTTGAGTTTCAGTCGCTTTGCAAGGCAACTACATCTTTCCGAGGCATGGTTTGTGAAGGGCATTTTGTTCACATTAATTTGATGTGACATGATCACACTTGGCATCCGCCCATGCGGACCTTAGTGAGGGTTATCTGCTCCCGCAAACGAGGATGAAGCTGATGGGTCTGTTTTTTCCAAGGTTCGGATGTGGGATGAAAAGAATTGTGAAAGCACCCGAATGGTTGGCAAAAGATAATTGTCGCGTGTGCATGTACTTTTGCAATGTAGTGTTCCTGTGCATATCCAAGGCCAATGCCAAACCTTGTTTCTGCGTAGGTTTGGATCCCCTCGAAGAGGTCCAGACAACGAACTTGGTCTTGGCGATTTGCATGTTTGGGGTGGCTAAGGGTGACAATAATTCGTAAGTCCCCCTCGAAACACTAAGGACTAAGGACCCCAAGGAAACACAATAAACATCCGCCATTCACAAGAGAGATGAAGGGCAAGGCAGCAAGAACAATGCTTTGTATTGAAGCGGTTATGTGTTCATTGTATCTCATAGTGTTCAGTGATCACTATGGTCCTATGTGAGGCGAGACCTTTTCCACAATCCTCGGGGCCCTGGGGGCCTTGGTGCCTTGCATCAAGAAGGCACATGGAAGGCAACTGTGATGACAGATATTGAATACAACCTGCTCCGCATTCGCCAAATTGTTTGTGATTCACGAGCAGTGTATGAGGAATAGTATAATTTAGATTTATGTAGATTGCTGGTATCATAAATGTGTTTCTTCGCTGCTTGTTGATCCTTTTCAGAGCCGACCACTCCAAGAGAGTAGTTGAAAGAAATCTGTTAATAGTTGTGATGAGTATTGCTTTGTTTCTTTTCGATACTGCAAATATGTAAGAGCCCAGCACAACCAAAAAAGCAATCCATGCAATTGTGCGATATTATGTTCCGCAATATAGACGTTTTTTTGTAGAAGCTGATGAAAGTCTATCCTGCTCACCCGGAAGCTTCGAATCAGCTTGTACAAAGCTGGTCCGTACTTCCAACACAGCTGAGGTTGGCACTCAAAGACTTGGCCCTAGTGACTTGGCGAACTAGCAGCTGGAGACGAAAGCTTCCGAGACTTTGGTTGGTGGGAGATTTGAGAAGATGTTTGGATTTGCACCGGACAGCACATCGGGACCAACCCAGGCACAGGTAAAGTCAAACTGTGGCGCATGTAGTACTTCAGGAGGAAGAAAATTTGGCAGCAACCTCACTTGATTCTGATTTCATTGACATCACTTCCCTTTCTCAAGGGAATTCCGGCAGATGAATTTCTACCCCGAACTAAATGTCAATAATTATCAATACTTAATTGCGATATACTCCAAACTTACTTTGGGGTGGACATGAATCCGTCGGAATTCCACAGTGATCCCCTGTATAGGATTCTAAGGGGAAAGGGTTGTAGGTCATGTACTTACAGGCTTCGTTACCAACTTTTGTTCTGCTTGTGTGTATTAGATCAAGTTTGGCTGGTTCTCGACCGACGCGCCTGCGCAGACGAAGTTTCCGGAGTTGCCCCCTGACCGGCCTGACGAGTATCGCTTGAGCCTGGGGAAGATCACGGATACCCTCAGGCAGGAGAACAGGAGTTTCGTTTCCGACTTTTCCCGAAAACGAGCTCACCGAAGTCCCAGTTGGGTGCTCGCGGCTTGGGAAGCGTAGGAGCAGAAACTTGTCTTAATGGAAGGGGTCCAGAGTTCAGTGAGTTCAGAATTGTGCGATTACATGTCTGTCTCCTTACTGTGCCAATCAGATTCAATCAGAAGCTGTTTTGGGAGCCTTTGCCACAGTGAACGGTCTCTAAATTGGCAGCTTTTTTGGTTTGGTGCCTTAATTCATCAGAGGACTTTTTGCATTTTTGTACTCGTGCGCGATGTTGTCCGGAGCTCCAAAAAGCAGGACTATCCTCAAAGATCCCTTTCCAAACCGTTGTTTGTAGGGTCTACGACTTCGTTCTATTCCAACAACTCTCTGTTGCCCTTTCCAAAACCCAATTGAAGGGACTATAGGGGCCAATGCACATCAAGCTGGATGCAAGGTGGGGTATATCTTTTGCGGAAGCTAAATTCAAAACGGCTCTACTGCCAACTAGGCAAACCGTGGTAGTTTCCAAGCTGCCATAGGTCCACTCAAGTGTTTGCGGGCAGAAATACTATATGTGTTGCGTTCGTCTTTTTTACCACTGGTAGCGCTAAATACATGCTTGATCTTCGCACCAGCCGTGAGGGAGGGTTGTGAATGACTGAAAGTGTGGTTGCAACACAAAACGGATGTCATGCCCTGCTGTCGTTGGGCAGGCTGGACTACCAGGTGCGGGTCGCATCGACAGCCGCATTCGTGCTGCCCTTGACAAAAGGATTCAAGGTGTCTGCCCCCAATTTCAGGAGGTTGGGAGCATCACAGGTAAGTCAACTTGACATGTCTTGATTTTTGCAAAGAACTCCCGCCAAATGGTGAGGAGTTCTTCCAGAAACAGCCAGACTGGAGCATCTATGACCAGTGCCTTGGCTCCATGAGTTGGACTCACAGATTGAGTTGCGCCAAGAACTGCAAGTAGCGACCTTGCTCCTAGTAGTACGGCCAGGAGCCCCTAGTAGCGACCTTGCTC